CAGAAGGACTGGGTGCTAATCACTAACATTTATTGAGCACTTTCTTATGTCCCAGGCAAAGGGCTTTATGTACCTGTTTCTCATTTAATCCAGTTTAGGAAACATAAGAAAACAGTCTCAGAAAGGTTAAGCAGCTTTCCTGAGATCACACAGCTAATAAGTGGTAGAGCCAGGATCTGAACCCAGATTTGCCTGACTCCCTCAGCCTGAGCTGTTACTCATGATTCTATATGGCAGCTGTAAATGTTTACTAGATGAACAAAGGAGTGGATGAATAGTTAACCCTAATGACAGCGGCAGCCTGTTATTTTGTTTCCATGAGACAAATATGAGCAACATGTTTAAGTTTTTCAACTATTGAGTCAAGCTTCTCCAAAGTGGGGCTCCTATTGAAAGTGTATTTCATAAAGGTTAACAAACAGGCATCTTTCTGGTGACCATTCATGTTTCTTGCGCAAGGCAAGGCAACCTATTTACAAAGTAATGATGAGTTATAATTGGAAAGGTGGTATCAAAGAAACGATCACCTTAAGTTCTGCTTTCACGGTGAGTTGTAAAGTCTCTGTATTAGGCTGTATACTGACCCCCAAAGAGATCAGGTTCTAATCCTTGGAAGCTGTAAATGTCACTTTACAAGGAAAAAGAGTCTTTGTAGATGTGATTAAGGAAGATTATCCTAGATAATCCAGGTGGGCCCTAAATGTAATCACGTGTATCCTTATGAGGAGGAGAAAAAGGGAGATTTGATAGGAGGAGAAGGCAATGTGACCCTGGAGACAGGAACTGGAGTGATGTGGCCACAAGCCAGGGAACCTGGTCAGCAGGGGCTGGAGGAGGGGAGGGACAAATCCTCCTCTCTCCTCTAGAGGGAGTTCAGCCCAGTCAACACATGGTTTTAGCACAGTGAGAGAATAAAATTCTGGTGTTTTAAGCTACCTAGTTTGTGGTAATTTGTTACAGTGGCCACAGGAAATGAATACACTGTCCTGGAGAAGGAGACAGCACAGGGAATAAGTCTTTAACCACTAGTGTAGGTGATTCAGAAATACACTCTTGTATCTTTTTAGTCTTTTTAGTTGCAGAGAAGAAACCCTGCCTTCTGCCCCAGTGCCCTTTCTCTGCTTTGTTTTTCTTTCTAGTACCTATCACTATCTGGCATATTGTGTATTTGTTTAGCGATTGTTGGTTCCTTCCCAGTTGAATGTAAGCTCCATGGACAAAGTGACATTTTAAAAACTGCTTTTCTCCCCATGCCTAGAAGAGTAGGTAGCATATAGAAAGCACTCAATAAACATTTGTTGAAGGAATGATTAAATGTCATGTTACTGTCACCTGAAGAGCCCTGATATCATATCAGAGACATGATAATAGAAGATATCACATACTAGCAAGATGCTTCCTAAAGTGCCACTTTAAAACATAGTTGAGATAGAATATATGTTCAGGCAATACTGTTTCTCATTTTCTACAACAACAATTTCTGCTTTCCACTTTGTTCAGGCCCGAAACCTTAGAATCATCTTTGTTGCTTCTCTGCCTTACACTCCACATCTAAACCATCAGGAAACCCTCTGCCTTCAAAACAACATCCAGCATCAGCCAGCCTCTCATCACCTCCATGCCGCTCCCCACCTCAGGTTTGGATGCTGGCAGTGGGCTTCTGATGGTCTCTTTGCAGTCACTCTCGCCCCTGCCTACCAGCCAATAGCCAGAGGGATCCTTTTTTAAATCCTCACTCTAGGATATTTTTCCCATTGATTTTTAGGGAGAGTGAAAGAGGGGGAGAGGGATAGAGAGGCTTTATAGCTACTTGAATATTCAGCCTGTTTGATGTAACTGAGTTTGAAGTGTTAAGACATGAATATGACATTGCCACTATAGGGTTCATTATTGGCAATCTCTTATTTTCAAGATCAAATTTCAATGGTGTTTGTTTGAAATAATTCCTCATTCAAAGGGGACCCATTCGCCCCGATTTTCCTTGGGAAGAAGTTTACTCTTGCCTCTCTCCTCCTGACCCACACCCTTCCTCCCTTCCTTGCTTCCTGCTCTCCCCCTCCGTGACCTTCCTTCCACCCACCTTTAGGAGCACAGCCAGCTTTAGCCCTAGCCTCCCGGCTCTCTGTGGCCTGCCCTCTAACTGCGAGATCACCACATCCTACCTCTCTCTTTCCCTAAAGGGACAAAGCCTTTCCCTGTCCTCAGACCTCCCCTTCCTGACGCATCCTTGGTTCACTGCGGGACTTGCCACATGCCACAGAAATGAACAAAATCATTTAACCAAATATTGGCGGTTTTCTTTACCAAGCATCAAGTTTGTGATGAGGTCATCTGGAAATATCAACCAGATTTAGAAGACGACATGAGAAGGCCTTCTGGGATGGAAGAATATGAACACCAGCACTCAACGACATGCAAGGCAGACTTCTAAGCATTTAACATGTATTAACTCATTTACTCCTCAAACAACCTTATACAGCAGGTGCTATTATTATCATCCAATTTAATGTAGGAGGGCAATGAGTCTGGGGTTAGGTGGTGGAGCTGGAGATCGTAATCAAGGCATTCTGGCTCCAAAATGAATATCAAAGACCTGCCCTCAACTGGGGGCCCAGAGCTCACACTCCCTGGCTGTCTGCATTGTGTTTTTCCCACCTGAATTCATCAGCTAATATTCCAGTTATCTCTGCCTTGGTGGGGGGAATAATCCACTGTTTGGCATGGAGAAGTTTAATACGTTTTAAGACAGACGTTCATTCCTAATTTTGTTTCCTATTCATGGATGTTAAAATGAAGCCTGTCTTCCGTAGAGCTCACCCCAGAAAATGACAGCAGGTCATAGTAAAAATGGAGCCATCTGTCTGTTAACCGAGGCTCAGGGTGTAAAGAAAGACACTGGAAATGTTAGTCCATAAGCTGCTGGAGGAAGTTATGGGGGTTTCTTTAGTTGCAAATGAACCTTCAGAGTGGTCATTCCCACCTGGACCCATACGTAGCAGGTCTACTTGCCCCGCTTAGAGCCAGTGCAGGGAGGTCCCTATTTATTTTTCAATTCCAAATGATATTCAATATTATATTAGTTTCAGGTGTACAGAATAGTGGTTAGACATATAACTTACACAGTGACTCCTCTGATAAGTCCAGTACCCACTTGGCCTCATACATAGTTACTACAATATTATCGATATATTCCCTGTGTTGTACTATACATCTGTGACTATTTTGTAACTACCAATTTGTACTTCTTAATTCCTTCACCTTTTCACCTATCCTCCCAAGCCTCCTTTCATCTGGCAATCGTCAGTTTGTTCTTTGTTTCTGTCTTGTTTGCTTTGTTCTTTAGATTCCACATATAAATGAAACTATGTGGTATTTGTCTTTTTCTGTCTGACTTATTTCACTTAACATAACACCCTCTAGGTCCATTCATGTTGTCACAAATGGTAAGATTTCATTCTTTTTATGGCTGAGTAATATTCTGTTGTATACACGTACCACATCTTCTTTATCCAATCATCTACTGATGGACACTTAGGTTGCTTCCATATCTTGGCTGTTGTAAGTAATGCTGCTGTGAACATAGTGGTGCGTATATCTTTTCAAAGTAGTGTTTTGGATTTCTTCAGGTAAATACTCAGAAATGGAATTGCTGGGCCATAAAGTGGTTCTATTTTAAATTTTTTAAAGGAACTCCATACTGTTTTTTATAGTGGCTGCACCAATTAGTCCTTGATTTAGAATGGAGGTGCTAACCTTCTTGGGGCCTTTCAGTTGACAGGGTCACTTTCTACATGTCTCTGTAGATTTGGTTAAGCAAAGTCCCTAAGGACTTCCCCAACCTACCCATCCTTCCTCCCCCCTCCACCTCTGCCTAGATGACCTCTTGGTTGAATATAACTTCCTGAATTCTCAGTCATCACAACAATGCAAGGTCTAAAACCTATCAAATGTAGATACTTGCTGTTCTAGAAACAATATGAGTCCAGAAATGGGGCCCCAACTGAGGCTGCAGCTCGAGGCCCAGATTCCCTTCCTCTTCTTGGAACTCACAGGCCATCTCAATTAGTGACAGGGGACCTTGGGCTCTCTCGACACATGGTGCTTGGCCTTGGCCTCAGCCATCTCAACCCAAGCATGAGTTTGCTCTTGACTGCTTCTGCCTAAATTACATTGTCCAGGGGAGCCGGAAACCAAAGAAGGTCAACGTTTCCATATCCATCCATCCCTGCCCTGAGCACATAGTAGGTACTCAGTAAATTTGCCTAGCTCACTGAGAATTACATCTTCTACTAAATTGGGATTTTGAAAAACCTGTTGCTTGGGTTGTGATCAGCATAATTCCCTTACTTACATGTTGACTGAGAAATACTTGGTCTTAAAGCAAGAAACCATTAGAAGTGAGAAATGCTGATAGATTTATGCTGTACACAAGAGGAGACAGCCAAAAGAACAGGTCTATTTTTCCTTCTTCCCGAGTCAACACTGGATTATTTATGGCAACATCCCTGCTGGTGGAGTGGCTAGGACTTTAGCTTTTCTCCTTTTGGACTATTTTGTATCCATTAGCATCTCTACCAGAGGGGGAAACCCGGGCAGTAGGTAACACCCACAAGAGCCCACTCTCCTAGTGACTGACAGTCCTACAGAAGGGACGAAAGGCTGCAATTAATGTTTAAGATGCAGTTGAAAAAGTGACCCACAGGGTTTCCATTCTTCCTGCTTTGTTTCTGTTCCTATGACCACAAGTCACCAAGAATTGGTTCTATAACTTTACTCTCGTGAGTTGCAGAGAAGAAAAAGGTGTTGGCTCCTGCTCGGGCCAGATGCCCCTCTGATGGAGTCAAGCTGAGAGAATCCATTCTTCTTAATTTATGGCACAAAGACATGAGGGCATGCAGCTGGAGCCCATTGGAGTAAGTGGAAAATTCCAAGGAGGCCAGAGATCCTTGGTAGAACTGTGGTAGGGGAAGTGTCAGAGACAGAAATATGAGACTCTGGGCAGTGATAAAATAGTTTTAATGGGAGGCTTTCTGAAAGGACAATGTTTTCTTATGCTATCAAACAGCCAGTTTCCCTGCCTTGGGGTTCCTTGGGGGTGCACTGGCTGAACTCCCTAGCCCCATCAGAAGCTAGGATGTTACTCTGATATTATGTTTGCACCCCTCCACCCACAGGGACCCAGAGATGTGTCTTACTTAACATCAGGAGACTGGAGTTAGCTGGCAGTCAATCCAAAATATACAGTGTCCCTGTGTGTGTCCAGGCATGAGAGAGCGGGCAAGGGCTTCCCTTCCGACTTAGGATATTTCTCCATAGGGGAAGGGAAAGGGGGCAAATCACTTTGAAAATTCAACTCTGACCTTTACAAAGAAAACTAATAGACACTTTAGTATTATATACACAGCAGAGGGGCGAGGAGGTGGAGGGGAAATTGCACTTAATTACAGTAGTTTATAGTTTACACCCATTGGACAAATTTACTTCTTTAAAAGAAATCTCAAGATCAGTTGGGGTGGGGGTCAGGGAGGGAGTGCTGATATTTACAGTGTGTTTGGCTCAGTTCAATAGCACGTGTCCTCCTCTCCTCATTTCAGTAACAGATTCAAGTTTTCACATCAGTTTGTTCGATGAAGGAGCATAATGTAGACACTACGGCTTTCTCTCTTCCTCTTCCATGGTTTCTTGTCTCCCACCTCTGGGATAGATGGGAGGACTTGACGTCTTGGGAGAGGCATCGTGACAATACTGCATAGAAGGGAAGCTGGGCTTCGGGCTGCGCCTCCTGAGAACGGATTGTCCAAGGTACCAACAGGCTGTCAGGTAAGCAGGGACCTCTTGCAGGTGCTTGTCAGGTCACTGGGCTTTTCCATGACAGCTGCCCGGAGAGTGATGGTGTGGAAAATAGGATCCTTGTTGCTGTGCACAAACTAAGTGATGTGTAGGTATCACCAGGCTTGGAGAGGACACTGCAGAGAGAAAGGACAGAGAGCTCAGCTGTGTGCAGTTGGCAGAAACATGGGCCATTGGTTTGGCTTCTCTAGAGGAGCTGAGACCCAACTCAGGCAGCAAAGAGCTGGGAGTGCAGGGCTGGGGACTGAGTGCCTGCCTAGTTCTGTGGTGTTGGTCCTGAAGCGCACTTCCGTCAGCAAAACCTGCCAGCCGGCTTTTCCGGCCACTTCAGAAGAAAGAAAGAATCGCTGCAGACCTTGCAATGGTCATAACTCGCTGACCTTTATCCTGCACTTGGGCCCCTCTTTCTGGGAGAGTGGTGTGTATAAAGTGCTCAGTGTGGTTGCAACAGCAGCTGGATCAGCAGCTCTTGCCTCTCGTGGAAGTGAGACTGCTAAGAGCAGGGTCCCCGAGACCACGGTTCCCACACTTTACCTACGAGGACCAGAGATCCTGTTAAAATAGAGATTCTGATTCAGCGGGCCTGGGTGGGCCTAAGAACCTGCATTTCCAACCAGTTCCCAGGTTGTGCTGATCTACTTTGAGCAACAAGGCCATAAAGCACATGAGCAAACCAGCACTTATCCAGTGATTTACCAGGGCAGGAGTGTGGGAAATTACAGTGCTTTCTAAGGTTTATTACTATTAGGACAAGAAACTTGGAGGATCAAGAAAGAAACCGAAGGGCTGAAGGACTCTGATGCTAGAATTCAGGTGTCTGGGACGGTGGGGAGAGACCCCAGAATGGACAGGGAAAGCTTGAGAGAAGCCACACCCCCAAGATGGGGTAGAATCCCTTCCAAAGCCCGGAGCCTCACTCATTTCAACTGTTACGGGACATCGTTCCTCTCCCTCTCCTTCCAAGGAGTCCCTTTTCTGTTTGCCCTCTGTCTCCTCCCTCCCTTTCACTTCTGTTGGCATCTCAGGGGAAGGTTCTGCTGTTTGGCTTAGCAGCTTATTCTCTCAAGACTCCCCCTCAACACACACACACACACACACACACACCCCACTAGTACAGGCTTGCTATCCCATTATCATTTTATTAATCAGTACTTCCAACCATAATCCTATGTGAGGTTGCCCTTATGTCCATTTTCCAAATTAGGAGAACAGGGCTCAGGGAGAGTCAATGAATTACCCAAGACTTCAGAATGATGTGGGTGTGAAGTCAGATTCGAACCCGTTCTGGGTGCCCTCCCAGCACGTGTTCTTTCTATGATGCTCTGAGGTTAGGAGCCTTCTACTAGCTTTGAGCTCTTGGTCAGGTTACTCTCCCTGTGCCTCAGTTTCTTCACCTAGAAAGTGGAGGCTGTTGAGGGATTAGATGAGCTGATCGCAGTGAAGTACTCAGAACGGTGCTCAGCATAGCTGTTCTCATTAGGACTGCTGCCCAGGGCACCTCTGTCCACGCTGCTCTGAGTGCCTTCAGAGTGGGACGGAGCTGCACATTCGGGTGACGAGGCAGGTTCTGACCCTTTTAAATTCTTGAGGCTCTGCTCAGGGTCCTCTGATACCCTTTGCCTCCTCTTCCTCCCTCACCCACCCCCACTCTCGAGTCTCTTTACTTCCCACTATCAGCCTTTTTCCAATTTTCAGATTTCAGGTGGAGGAGAGAGAAAATGGCTTGTGACCTTGCAGGTTTCAATAGAAGAGCAAACAAGAGGGCAGATAAGGAGACGCCAGCGAGATTCTATGACCTGTCATTAGGGATGGGCTTCCCAGCTATCAAATGTTTGCTCACATAATAAAATGGTGGCAGGGCCCTAAATGTTGTCAAAGGAACTAGAGTTATTTGCCCCCTTCAGAGTCTAAACACAAACATCTGATAAAGGGGACACTGTGGTCTCTTAGAACCAAGGCGCACATGCAGCCCCATGGGGGGCCTTGCCCAGAGGATCTCTGAGTGACTACAGGGCCCGCTGTCTGAAAGGTGTGATGTCTGTGGAGGTTGTTCAGGATGCCCTCACTGTAAGAGGATTTCTTACATAATGGTGACAGCTAACATTGATCGAGGTCCTACTCTGTGCTGGGCACTCTGCTAAATAAGGGCTTTGCACGCATCATTGCACCGAGTTAGTACCTCAACCCTTGGAGGCAGGTAATTATCACTCATTCATTTGAGTGCCTTCTACATGCTTAGCACACAGAGGATGCAGCCGCGAACAAGACCCTGTTCACACCCTCACATCACTGTAGGGAGAGCTTTGAACAATAAACAAGTAAACAAATAAGCAAATATACAATGTATAAAATTGTAGGTGGAGAGGAATACTCTGTAGAAAAATAAGCATGGTGAGAGGGTAGGGGGACTTGAGGGAAAAGAGAATAATTTGGGGAGGGGGATCAAGAGGGACCTCTTTCAGGTGGTGACATTTGAGCTGAATGAAATGAGGGAGCAAGCATGCAGAGGTGCACATTAAGGAGTGTTCCCGGCAGATACCACAAATGCAGAGCCCTGCAGCAGGACCACTTTGGCTCTGGCTCAGCTGAAGCGGAGGGAATGGGAGGAGAGGAAGGAGGTGAGAATGGCAGGTCTGATCACAAAGGGCTTGGAAGTCTCTGTTTCAGTTTGGAGTTTGGTTGCACTGGGAAGCCATTGGCGAGTTTTGACAGGGAAATAACATGATTGATTTCTTTTTCTTTTTTTTTTTTTTAGCCTCACTGGAGGACATTTTTGCACCTATCTTCAGATAGAGCGGGAGGGAGAAAGAGAGACACATCGATATGAGAGAGACACATCAAGTGGCCGCCACCCACATGACTCCAACCAGGGCTGGGGACAAACTGCAACTGAGGCATATGCCCTTAGTGGGAACCGAACCCAGGACTCTGGTCCTCGGGCCGATGCTCTAACCGCTGAGCTAAACTGGCCAGGGCTAATTTTCTTTTTAAAGAGAGAATTCTGGCTGCTGTGTGGGGAACAAACTATTCCCTCCATAGGGGGGCAACAGTGAAAGTAGGGGTGAGAAGTTAGGAGCCATTGCAAGAGGTCAGTGAGAGACAGGGGCTGAACTGATGGGGTGGTAAGAAGTAGATTAGGGTGAACTTTGGAGCATCCCAGCAGAACTTACTGATGGACTGAATGTAGGGTGTGGTGAAAAAAATCAAGGAGACTTTCTGGTATCTCACCTGAACAATTGGTACCATTTTTGGAAATGGAGAAGTCCAAGGAAGAAGCAATGTGGGAAGGAAGAAATAGGAGCAAAAGGGTGAGGTCTTATTTTAGGCAGGTTCACTTTGACAGGTTTGTCAGATATATTAGGCATGCACATGTACAGGCCAAAGTTGCATTGGGTTGGTGAATGGGCACTCAGGGGAGAAATCTGCACTGGAGACAGAATTATGGACTCCATCAGTGTGTACACTTGATGCATAGCCATGGGATTCATAGAGATGAGCCAGGAGTAAACTAAGAAAGGAATGAACCTTGGGGCCCTCCAACAAGTGAATACTGAGAAGATGAGTTGCCTGCGAAGGAAATGCTAAGTGCCATAGGAGGAGAGCCAGAAATAGATAATGTTCCAAAAATCCAAGTAAAAAAAGAAAGGAGTGATCAATTGTATCAGAGATAGTCACAGAAATTAAAAAGTGACTATTGATAAAGAAGATGTGGTACATATATACAATGGAATATTACTTGGCCATAAAAAAGAATGAAATTCTACCATTTGCGACAACATGGTATTATGCTCAGTGAAATAAGTCAGAGAAAGACAAATACCATATGATTTCACGTGCAAAATCAGAATCTAAAGAACAAAGTAAACGAACAAACAAAGCAGAAACAAACTCATAGATACAGAGAACAAACTGATAGTTGTCAGAGGGCAAGAGGGTTGGGGGACTGAATGAAAATGGTGAAGGGATTAAGAAGTACAAACTGATGGTTACAAAATAGTCACAGGGATGTAAAGTACAGCACAGGGAATATAGACAACAATATTGTAATAATTATGTGTGGTGCCAGGTGGGTACTAGATTTATCAGGGATCACTTTGTAAATCATGTAAATGTCTAACCACTGGGCTGTATGCCTAAAACTAGCATCAAATAATATTGAATGTCGATTGTAAAAAATGTTTAAACATTAAAAAGAAAAGTGACCGCTGGATCTGGCAACATGGAGGAGTGGGTGAGCTGGACAGGAGAGGTTCCGGCGGAATGTGAGACAAAAGCCTCTTCTCTGGAGTCTTCTCAAGAGAGAGCCGGGGATGAGGAAGTGGGCACAGCGAGTATAGATAACTCATTTCTATTATTATTAAGTTCGATTAATTATAGCTCTATTAATTAAAAGAAATGATTATAATCCTAATTTTACAGACGAGGGACCTGATGTCTAGAAAGATTTTAAGTAACTTGCCCAGGGTCTCACAACAGAAAAGCTTATGCTCTTAACCACAAGGAAGATCATCTCCTTCTAAGTTCTGAGTCGAGCAACGGGGAAATGAATGCCCTTTGCCAGTTAAAGTCCTCTTTTCTAAGCTTGAGAGACATTCAAGTTGCCATCCGGGGAAGCCTCGTTCACCCCACTTGCCATGGGCGGGGTGTTTCAGGTCAAGAACTGAGCTAAGTGTGTGACAAGACTTATTGCGTTTAGTTCTTTCAATGATCCCAGGAAAGAGGAGTCATTATCTTCATATACAGGCAAAAAAACTGAAGCTCAGAGAGGCTAAGACTTTTCCCTGAAGTCGCACAGGTAGAAAGTGGTAGAATCTTGAGCCCGGGCCTGCCTGACTCCCAAGTCGGTACTCTGAAACACCAGACTGTACTGCCTCCTTGCCGGTAGAGAAGGCTGGGTGGGTGGGGGAGAGCTGCAGGGGATTTATGATGAGGCTTCCCACCTCCTTCTTGTCAGCGGCCTCGACCAGTGCCTGCTCTGAGGGCCCTCTCCTGACCTTTCTATAAACTAGGAAGTGGAACAGTAGGTAGAGAAGTTGTGGAAACAGGAGTCAGCTCACAGCCTGCCCACACTTGTTCTAACCGAGGTCGGTGCTTGCTATGGTCTTGCTTCCAGACTGGCAGGGCATTGTTTTGCAGGAGCTCAGGCACAGACCCACTCACAGTAATTCGCCAGCACCAAAGGGTAGAGGAGGAGAGGAGGCATGAGCTTCGGAAAAGACAGCCGGCAGAAGCTCCAGGATTCCCAACGAGAAAGTCCTAGCCCGAAGTTTCTGAAACATGATTCACAAGGCGCTGGGGAATGTCTGTCTTGACAAGAGGAAATACTAGGATCAGAGAGGTACAAGTCAAAATTCTGGCTTTAGCCTTATATACCTGTATAACCTTGGGTCATTTCTATGGGTGCTCAGAAATGGAAGGTGAGTGTTGTTGAATGGATTTGGAGTGAGACCAAGGACTAGAAGTCCAGCTCCAGATTTACCATCTGTGTGGACTTGGCCAGATCCCTCCCCATCTTTGAACCTCGGATTTTAGCTCTGTAAATCCGGCATAAAAATATCTGCCTCGCAGGATGGGTGGGAGGGTTAGCCAGGAAAGGTAAGATGGAAAAGCACCTGGGGTGCTGCTTGGCAAATGCAAGGCACTCAAAGATGCTAGTTTTGAATTCATTCATTCACTCACTCACTTATATTTACTGAACATCTACTATAGCCCAAGCATTTAGCAAAGTACAAAGGGCTTGGGAGCTTTGAGAGGCCTCTGAACTATCTGTATTTTCCCTGGGAGGTGGGTAAGAAGGCATCTGTGTGTCAGCAGAAGAATAGGAAGCAAGGATCTGTAGCTGGGCCCAAGAGGTAGGATGTACTCAAGAGATGGTCCCAATCCCAAGAAATTTTATTGCCAATACCCACTTTGACCCCATGTAGACCAAGCAATGAGTGAAATACTGAAAGAGCATTTGGAAGGTGTCTCCTAAAGAATTACAGAAAGGAGAAGGAAGAGGGAGGGAGTTACCACTTTGAGTACTAGACTATGCATCAGCCACTTTATTGGGCACTTTGAAAATTCTGTGAGATGGGGGTGGGATTTTCCCTATACGAGATGAAGAAAGTGTCTCACAGCAGTGAGGTAACTGCCCACAGTCATGTAGCAAGGGGTGAAGGAGCTGGGACTGGCTTGGATCTGTTGGCTTTTCCTAGCTCTTTAGGGTGCCTTGAAGTAGCAGTGCCCTGGCTGTGTCCCTCTGACTTGGCCAATGAGGAGCAAGGTGCACACTAGTGGCCCTGTTCAATGTGCACCTCAGCACCCAAACGATTCTGGAAACCCTGCCTTGTGGTCTTTAACTGTTTCGGTCTACCATTCCCCCAACATATTTGAACAAGGAGTCTTCTTCTCCTCATTCTATGTGCACCTGATTCCTAGCAGTGGTCTTGAAACTCCTTTCATAAAATAATGTTTTAAAACAAAGCAGCCTTGCCCCCAGGTCTCTTGTGGAACTCACTTTTGACTCTTTGCTTTTGGAATAGAGTTTGTACAACTTTTTTTCACCCTGGGTTTCTTTACACTCATTCTACTTCATTCTGCCTTTCTCATTCCCTCTCCTCCTTCCTTTTGTAGGAAGAATGTTTCCTGGTTGAAATATAATATGTGGGCCTAATTTTTACCCTTGTTCCTGATTACTAAAGACCACAAGAGCAGAAATTATGGTTGGTATTTTAAAGATGGGTTATGGAAGGCAAGTGTTGTTTAAGTGGAAAGAGTTCAGGATTTAGAGTCAAAGCCCAAATTCTGGAGGTCCGGGTCTAGAATTGATCCTCTGTGTGACCTTGGGCAAAACAGTCTCCATCTCTGAGCCTTAATTGACTTCTTTGTACTTCTTAGGAGGTTTCAATAAAGAGAAATGATGTTCATGAGAAGTACAAACTGTGAGTGCTCCATAATTTTATCCTTACTAAGTGTCATCATCATCTTCATCATCTGGGAAATGAGTCTGTCACTAGACTCCTGAAATGGCTGGGGACTTGGAGATAACTTCAGGGTAGTTCTAGAGGGATGTACATGCAGCTTCAAGCTTGGCTGGCCACTCTATCCAGTGGAGGGGAGAAGCCATTTGGGGGCTGGTGTGGCATCTCAGGGAGCATCTTGAAGTATTTTGATTAAGAGACCATTTCCTGAATTCAGAGGACTTGTTTCAACAAGCAAGCATCAAAGTCAACTTGGGAAAGACAGAAATAATTAATCACAGTCCTGTCTAGGGCTGACCAAGCGGCAGATGGATTGATAAACCTTTCAAAGGGGAAGGTATTCCCAAGCAGGGCTGCTGCGCCTGGCTGCCCCCCTGATTGAGATTTGTGAGCACAGATAAATGTTTTCCCTGCTTGCTACAAAGAGTGGGAAATCGCACGGAGTCGAAGGGCAAGGCAGTGTGTGTGGGGGTGTCCTTTCATCTTCCATTGGGTGAGAGAAGAGTAGCAAAGCAGGTCCCACACACCTCTCCCTCGCTCCTCAACTCCAGAGCCCAGCTGCGTAGGCAGTGTGTGAGTGTGTGTGTGTGTGTGTGCACGCGCGCGTGCGCCCAAGACACACCAGGCACTTAATCTGGGTGACCTCATCGAATCCCCAGAACAAGTAGGTGTTACAACTCTTATTTTAAAGATGAAAAAACAAAGGCGCAGGAAGGTCAAGGTCACCAAGCAAGTGGTACAACCAGGAATAGAACCTTCCTGCTTCATAACATTGCAGAGCCGGGAGGAGATGGGGACAAAGGGAAGGGCATGAAAGAACCTGCTGGAAGCACATGGCAGTGGATGAAGCGTGACTCGCAGAGCTCAGATGGAAAAAAGACCATCAGCAAGACCAAACCCTGCTGAGAGCCTCTGACATGAAGTTCAAGGTTGTCACCTACTTATCTAGTAATCAATAAAGGCTAAACAGTTCCCACACGGCATAGAGCCCAGCCACCAAAAGGCCTATTGTATTATTCTGGATTTGTCATCTGTGTTCAGACTTCCTGTCCTGTTTTCTAACTCTCAGAGCCCCGCTGGAGTCCAGCTGTTCAAGCTCAGCGATGAGCCTCACCGTTGGTTGTCCTTACTACCCCATAACCTCCCTGTGGACGTGGGAATTACTCATCAACTGAAACGGTGACTAAGCCTCTGGATTCCCTACTTTCAGTACACCAGGAAGTTGATTCTAAGTTGCTGTTTTTGAAAATAAAACACAAAATGAACACAGACCCCTGGACAGATTAGGCTGAGGAGTCCCCATGGGACACTCTGTAGAGCTTACAGCATTGTAGGTCCAGTATGGGTTCTGGACTGGGGAAATCAGCCGCAGGATCCCTGACTTTCTACTCACTTTCTCCATTGACTAACTTGTAGAAAATCCTTAGGGACCCCTCTTACAAACCATGAAACTCCACAAAGGGTCCGACTTCCTGAGCTCTCCTTGGAAATACCTTTCCATGCATCACTGGCAATCCACCAGGGAAATGCTCAGTCTCCATGCCTACAGGCTGCATGTAATCCAGGCTCCAGTGACTTATCAAACATCAGTCCTCACTCAGAGCTCTTGTTGGGGGTACCAGGGGAACAATAAGCCTCTTTAGCTTGTGGCCCATCTTCTTGGCCCTGTGACCTCAGAGATTCCTTTAGCAAGCAACAGAGAGCATCAGAAGGACCAGACTGATGGCTGAGTCCAAACCCGCCACACTCTCTACACATCAATAGCCTTAGTCATTACCCACCCCCTCCCTTTCCTGATGGCATTACCTGTTTACTGGAAGACATGTTGGTGAGGGTACTGATGCTGCTGGTATCTGTGACCACCATCGCAGACGGAAACCGGGAGGTGTGGGAATACTGGGGGGGTTCCTGCTTGTGTGTGTACACTGCAGAGACAAAGTGAAAACAAAATCAAGGTGCCAATCACACAGGCATTTGTACTTCTCACACTATCCCTCACCACAGCTCCTGTGTCCCTGGGCAGGTAAAAGGGGATGGTGGTACTGGTGGTGGAGATGTTTGGGACGGCAGTGTATTATGGTAAAAAGAACGGCCATGTGTTTAAATCCCGGCTCCTTAATCAAGTTACTTAGCCTCAGTTTCCTGCCAGTTGAATGAGAGTGATATCTGTTATAGGATTAGAAGAGATCATGTTCAAAGCACTTTGTATCAAATAAACAAACAGCCTTGCACAGCACCTAGTATGTAGTGGTGACAGCACTTCTGTGGTGGGAGCAGTTCTGTTCCCCTGACTTTCAATAGCGTGTTAGATGCCTGGGTACAACCAAGTGATCCTTAGGTGTATGTGGTACATCTGGGATTTTAAGAAAAAAAAAAAGTCTAAGTAGCTGGCAAACATGAAGGAGCCGACCAGCACACGCTTGCCATTTCTGCCAGAACGCAAGCACCAGGTCTCATGCTAGCAATACCAGATGAATTAATAATTATAATTAGACATGGGTATAATTCATTGATATAATTCTGGGCTTTCCAGTTTGCATTAAAATGCCTTCTGACATCATAGTCTTATAACACCCCAGGAATATAGATAGACAACAGGAGTCTAGAATCAAATAAAACCTCCAGGAACCTGTGACTCCATTTTTAGTTTTTTTAAGTACTGGTCCACCAAGTCTGGAACCTTTGGACACACACTAGTTGTCCATAAGATTTATGTAAATTCTAGGTCACATGACCAACTAATAAAAGCATGTGGATGCCTGGCCTTGAGGGAGGGACCCACCTGTTCTACCCTGGAGTCCTCTACGTAGGAAACAGGGTGAAGGTCGCTGCCTGCTGCCTCAGCTTGCCTTTCCTATGGAGGGAGGCTGGTAATTTCCTGGTCTGAAGCCCCACGGGCTCTCTCTCCATAGCCAGCCAGGCCAACGAGACCTCAGCGGTTCACAGGTCACTGGTGATGACTCTCTGACTGTCCCACCCACCCAGGACGCCCCTGAGGAAGCCTGCTCAGGTGAGGGGCAGAGGCAAGTGGGGAGCACGCTGTCAGGCCTGAGAAGAAGGGAACTAGGGCACATGTGCTCCCCGACTGGGCTACAGGCTGTGGCAGTTGTTTGAGAAGCCACGAAAATGCGATTGGAATGTGAGATGGTGCTTAGAAACCAGCTCCACAGGCCTGAGGGGGCAGAGTCTGGAGGATAGCAGAAGGCTGGACTTGACTCTCCCTCAGACCCACAGCTCTGCCCGAGGCAGGCAGGGGAGAAACCAAAGTCTCCTTCCTCATTCCTGCCTCCTCCTATTAAGGTGTCAGTCCCTTAATAAGCAGTCACTGTGTCTCTGGAACTCTTGATGCTTACCAAACACCATTCATAACTATTTTTTATCTCCATAATCACTCTATGTAGATATTATTTTCATTTTATGGATGAAGAAGTTGAGGCTCAGAGTGGCTAAGTAGTGTACCAATGGCTGCACAGCGGGTACGTCTCAGAGCCAGGATGTAAATCTAGGTCTGTCTGACTCCACGGCTACCACTCTATTCCAGAGACTTTTCTGATGTTCCTGTGGGACCATGCCCGAAGCAGGGAAGCCATCCTTTCCATGATTTCTCCTCAAATTAGTAGGCCACGGGCTATCCCCTAATCTGGCCAGAAGACTGGGGCCTGGGGCTCAGGATGGGGGTGAGGAGAGCTATAGGGGCTGGAGTGGGTGGAAAATAAGTGGCTGAAAGGTAAGACTTAGGGATAGGTGTAGAAACTGGAGATGGGAAATAGCCTGTGTGGGGTGGGGAAGTGTGCAGAAACTCTAATATTCCTTGTTCAGCAAGTGTGCAGGTGCTATTTTCCACCTCTATTCATGGTTCATGATGTGATGCTTGGAGTATGTAAATCGGAGTGCATGGGACTCTAGAAGATTCTTCAGTTCCAGGGAAGGCAAATAGGATGCAAATATTATGCCAACTATAATCACTTGGTAATGGCTGCTTGAACTTTTGGACTGGAAAGGCTGCATTGGGGCTCACTGGGAAAGGCGCTGTGGTTGATGTGACTCCATGCATGGGTGTCAGAGAGGGAAACTATGGCACGTGTTCCACACACACACTAGCCCTGCTCTCTAGCTCCAGCTCCCCTTACAGGTAGGCCTCAACTGTCCTCTTCCAACTTTCCCCGGGAATCCGGAGGGGAGAGTAAAGGAACTGAAAAAGCACAGCACCACACACAGTTATGCTTGAGGAACTGTCCTGGTTGATCATAGGCAGGGTAAAACGGATAAACCTCAGGGAAAGTTCAGACCCAGAGAGGGAGGAGGGTGGCTGCTGAGGGCCCTCGGTGCTCCTCCCCAACACGCCCAGGTCCTTACTGTGTGAGTTCTGCAGCTGCGTCACAGCGGCCATGAAGGGCTGCTGGGCCATGTGGCTGCCCGGGCTCTGCTGCATGAGGGGCTGCTGGTGAGGGCTGTGCAGCTGCTGGGAGAACTGCACCGGCTGCAGGGCCGCCAGGCTGCCAGCCACACTGTTGATGACGGGGACGCTCTGTGCTTGGGAGGTGTTGAGGCCTGTGGGAGCAAGAGGGAGAGGTCAGAGACGCTTCAGGGATGAGGAGAGGTGAGTGAATGTCAGTGTCATCCACTGAGTCCCTGCCTATGTGTGAGGCCCTGGGCTGAGCCGGTGACACAAGAGTCTGCATGGGAAGCGATTTTATTGGTCCATTATCTAGACAACAAAACTGAGGCTTGAAGAGATTAAGAGACTTGCTCAAATTCCATAGGGAGTTGTAGATGGAAATGGACTGACTGAGGCTGGAGAGTCTCCCGGTCATATGACCTCCCAAACTCTGCTCCTTTGAGGCTGCCAGGGCCCTAGAAAGCTGACCCTACTTGCTCACTCGATCCATGCCTGCCTCCGAGAGAGGCTTGCCCTGGTGGTGCCCTTGGGACAGAGCTGAAGGCCGGCACTCTGAGGAACAGATTATTGCCCAGATCTGTCTGTCCAGCAGAGGGCAGGAGAGTGCAGGGGCCTATATTTTGATTAAAAAAAAAAAAATCACTTCCACAGTCCTGGGAGCATGAAGTCTGAAGACACTCATTTGGCAGCTTTGTGCAAACACCCTGAGAGAGGCTAGGTGCTCATTTTCATGACTGTGGCAAAGAGGGCAAAAAACCCTGGAACTCGGCCAATCTATGAAGTTTTTTCTTATCTGGTAACACGAGGGCTTGTGGCATCAAAAGGAGAAGGTGCTGGGAGGAGGAACTAGTAAAATGAATGTTGGCAGTTACAGAGGGTCTTGTCCTCTTTCTGATCTGAGGGGTATGAGGACCTCTGTGGTTCTGTACTGTCTATACCCAGAGGCGTCCCTAGAATTAGAGCCGGCACAGCAAAGATTGGTCCCTGATACCCACCGTCCATCTGTTCCCTGGGTAGGACTCGAGGGAAGGCAGCTGAGGCAGGTGGAAATGGGACAAAAGAATCAGGGAAAGACACCCAACCTCTTTCTTGGAGCCACCAATGTTCCTTGGATCTTGCTTTCTGGGAAGGGGTGTGTGTGGGGGGGGTGGGGGAAGGGGGGGAGGATAAAATGAAGAAGGAAACCCAGAAAAAGGTCTCTTTTACGCAAAGGTGGAAGGAACACCCAGAGAGCCTTTCCTCAGACGGAGAGGGTTTCATAAGCAGATCTGCAGGCAGCCCTCCATGGAGATAGCACAAAGACCTTAACAATCGCCCACTCAGAGCTTTAGCTGATATTGTTATCAGAAACATAAAAGGTGAGTGGAGGAGAGGAATAAGCCCCCTCCTGGCTCTCCTGGGTGGGGCTGGAGGGTGAGGTCCTCAGATCACCCTCAGAACAGCACTATCTCCAGTTCCCCACAGGGGCCCAGCTTCTCCCCAGGCCCACGTCTCACCTGATACCCTGGAATACTGTTTCCCTCGCCTGCCTTCCACTGATGCTCTCAGTTGCCTAGGAAGCCCACAGATTTGCTGTTTTCCAAGGGCCCATTGTTGCTGCTTGTTAGGAAATCTCTGCCCAGAAAAGCTAATTGTCCTGTGTAGAGTGGATGACATCTGAGGGCATAGTTCTGAAACCTGCCTGTGCTTTACCATCATCTGGGCGAGCTCTTTATGGAATATACATTCCGAGGCCCCGCCCGAGGCTTAATGAGCTAGAACCTTTAGAGGTGAGGCCCAGGAATCTTATTTCCAACACAGTCTATGTGCCTCGATTCCAGGACTGAGAGGCACTGATGTCATGCTAGCTCCCGTGAAGTGTGACTCTGAGCCTTTCCATCTGTTTTCTTTCCCCTGGTTCCTGCTTACGAAGCCAGCAGAGGAGTAGAAAATGAGGAATTGGCACTGCCAAGTAATTTGTTACCACACTGTCCATGGTCTCGGTGGTCCTGAGGCAGGACCCACATATTCAATAGGACATGAGTTGGCTAAAAGGGGGTGATTGCAACTAATTCTTTATCCCAACACTCCATGGGTAGGACTGTGGCTCAGTCAAGTTTTTTGGTGATCCTCACCGTTTTTCATGCTCTCTCCCACTCCAAGTACACACACACACACACACACACACCCTAAGGTCAATGTACACTCTGGTGTTGCCATTCAGCAGTAGGAGATTAAGACTATTGTGAGAGAGTAGAGAAGCATGGATGAAGAAAATTAGGAGGAACTAAACTGAAAAATACAGAGCAGCCTCAGGAAAAATTTTAGTTCAGATAGTACCTGAGAAAATATATAACTGTGTGTAAGCCCAAGTTTGACATGGGAAGAAAGAAGGTAAGTAGGATGGTTTGTTTATGATTCTGTAGAACTAAAGAGGTGGGATATCTTACCCATGGGCCTTTTAATCAAATCTTCTAGATGGCATGCAAGTTGGTTTCAGGTAACCTATATAACTCTCAATGGTATTAGTATGGTTACCGTATTTCCAGGGAGGGCCCAGTGAAAAGGCAGTAAATTTAAAATAACTTATTATTTTGTAAGTCCTCCAAGGGCTTTTTCCATTTCCACTTCCCTCTGCAAAAGTAAATGTGGAGTATACCAAATTCTGAGCAGCTATGGATAGGATGAGAGCCACACATACTCATTTAGAACATCTGTGTGCCTCCTTTGGGCCTACTCCTGGTTTGCTCTTAAAGAGCATATAAATCATTCTCCTCAGAAGTGACCCACGTTGCTATCCTGGCTAAAGCTGGTTTAGGGAGAGAGGAGGGGAGGGGAGGAAAAGGCAGGACTAAACCAAAGAGGTGGTCAACGGGGGCACCTGACACCAGGGAGGCCCTGAGTACACGGGGGCGGTCCTAGGTTGAAAGAAAGAGGAGCAATGTGCCACCCCTAGATCTCTCCTGAGACTTCCCAGGAATAATTCCAGAGTCATAATGGTGACTTGACCTGAGCTGCCATTGTGAAGCTGAAAATACACTGAATATTCATCAAGGTTAAAATTCTGAGAGGCACCCACAGCACAGGTTACGTCAAGCCTCCCATGCCCTAAAACGCCCATCTGGGACAGGGTACAAGCTTGCTGTTAAATATGAGCCTCCTAGATCTGGAAGGACCTGACCTCATCTTCAAAGCATGGGCTTCAACAACCTATTTCTCTTTCTCTCTCTTTTTTTTTTTATCCTCACCCGAAGACATTTTTTCATTTTTTGTTCAGATAGAGTGGGAGGGAGGGAGAGGAAGAGAGAGAGAGAAACATCGATATGAAAGGTACACATTGAGTGGCTGCCACCCGCACAACCCCAACCGGGGCCGGGGACAAACTGCAACCGAGATACATGCCCTTAGCGGGAACCGAACCCGGGTCTCTCTGGACCGCAGGCCGACACTCTAACCGCTGAGCCAAAATGGCCAGGGCAACAACCTATTTCTTCTTAAAGACCTAGAGATGTTATGACTATTTCCCTCGGAATTCCCTCTCACTGTATTTTTACCACTGGCCAAAGATGTCTCATCTGATCACATAAAATTCCCCATTTAGAAGGAAGCCCATCATGTATTGCTCCATCTCCACCAACACAAAGAAACATCAGCACCAACTCCTGGAGAATCTACCACATACTTAGGGATAGGGATGGACACTAGACAAAAGTATAAACTACAGTATTACACATACTCATGCCTTATAGATTTATAAGCATGTCTATGCACATTGTCATTGATCAGCAACCCATTTTACAAATGGGGAAACTGAACCTCATAAAGATTCAATGATTGGAACCAGGATGTGCATGCAGCTAGTAAATTGTGACCAAGATTCAATTCCATTGTATATTTTTTCTTATTTTAGGCTAAACAATCTAAATATTATTGAGGAGAGAGAGAAGAAACTAAACAAAACAAGGTGAATCAAAACTACAAGTGGTGGGTGAATTTAGTCCTTTCTTATCAGGTTGACTTGCTTCCCAGCCAAGTTTTCTCTGTGCCCTCAAGTTTTCTGACCAAGAACGGAGCTTACTTTGTGCAATGGCCATGACTCCAGAGAGCGGTGTCATGATGAGGTTTTGAGATTGCTGGGGGTTATGGTGGGACAGGCTGTGGATGTTCGTCAAGGTGCTGACAGGGGGCAAACCACCTCCTGAGACCGAGATCTGCTGGAGAGAAAAAACAAGAGCAGCATGAGTGGAATTGGAATCATAAAGAGCAGTGTCCAAAATGACATCTCTTAGCGATTTCTTGACACAACTAATTAACGGCTGAATTCATTCGTTCGTTCATTCATTCATTCACTCAATAACAGTTATTAAGTACCTACTTCTAGGTAGGAACTGTTCTAGGTGCTGAAGATAGAACAATAAAATAGAGAGTAATCCCTTCCCTTATGATGCTCCATTTGTTGACTAACTTTGAGTTACTAGCCTACCTTAGAGATTCTTCTGCCCATGGGTATGATATGATTGTCACTTGATCATTTTGGAAGTATCCTCTGTTCTGCTCTTTGCCTTCTCTATTATTGGTGCTAAAGTCATTCGACTGCTAAAAAAAATATTAACTGAAGAAATGTCCTGGGATTCCCCAGTGAGAACAGATTAGGGATTAGGCAGGAGCTCAGGGACGCTCCCAATGACCACAGGCTCTACCAAGCACTGCTCATACATTAACTCACAAACCTACCACAGTCCCATAAGGTAGGTACTTCTGCCATTCCTATCTCACTGATGAACAAACCGAAGTCAGAGTAGACTGTACACTGCCTAATGGTACACCTGGTATTTAAGCCAAGTTTATTTGACTCTAGTTTTATTGAGGACTTTTCCCTACCTCTGCAATTATTACTAAGGGTTGTGGGAGATCAACAACAATTGAGCTTTTCTACTTTCTCCAAATCTCCACTGTACATTACATTTTCTTTATTTTATTATTATTATTTTATTTATTTATTTATTTTGGTCAAGGAGCTGATATTGTAATGATAAAACTACCAAATAGGCCGTGGACCCCAGGTACCAGGTACCTCCATTTTATATATATATATATGTAATAGATGATATATATATATGTGTGTGTGATAGATAGATAGATAGATATGGATATAAATATAGATTATATATATATATATTTTTTATCCTCACCTGAGGACGTTTTTTCCCCATTTTTTGTTCAGATAGAGTGGGAGGGAGAGAGAGGAAGAGAGAGAGAGAGAGAGAGAGAGAAACATCAACATGAAAGAGACACATCGAGTGGTTTTCACCTGCACGACCAACCAGGGCCGGGGACAAACTGCAACCAAGGTACATGCCCTTAGCAGGAACCAAACCTGGGTCTCTGTGGACCACAGGCCAATGCTCTAACCTCTGAGCCAAACCAGCCAGGGCACCCCCATTATATTTTAATGACAGATTAGTAAGAAAAAGCTACTGATTTTTATATGTTACTTCATATATGACCACTCTAAATTTTTTATTGATAATTGAATCCTTTTATTTATTCCTAATAGTGTCTTTGCCATTATGATTTTCTTCATTGTTCCAAGTGTATAATGACATCACAAGCATATAACGCTCACAGGGTCTCTTCTGTGCTAGGACTAATATGTATACATGTCATATTGCATTGATTGGAACTTTCTGAATAGTATTAAATAATAACAGCTGTAATAGATGTGCTTGCTTTGATTCTGATGTTATTGTATATAAAGTAAACACATAAAAAAGTAGTTTACTATTTATAGTTTTAAAATAATTTTTAATGATTATTAAGGACACCGCCCCTCTCATTCTGAACTAATCCAGACATTCTTGATGGCATCAGGGGCCCGGAGAGGTGCTTTAGGGTTAGAATACATACACTAGATGTTTGAGTAGTCTAGTTTCTCTTCTGTCTCTCATTACCCAGAGCTGCTCAGACTCGCACCAGCACCCAGGTAAGACACTATCTCCCTCCTACCCTGCCATTCTGATCAACCCCATAGCTTCCAAGGTTAACTTGAAAAAGAAAGAAAGAAAAAAACCAAACAGGTTTATTTGTGTTTTCAAAATGAGCATCAAGAAGTGAGTTAGGGGTCATGTGACTAAGAAGGAATTCCAGCCACATCAAACAAGAGAGAACCAGCCTGTTTGCTGGACTTGTTTTTCAAAATGTCAGAGTCATTAAAAAAAAAAAAATCAGTAATCTGCCTTCAGACTTCCCTTGGGTAATGTAGTCCTTCAGAAAAAGTCAAAGAAGTGACAGCAATCTCTGCCATTTCTTTCTTTTTTTTATCCTCACCTGAAGACATTTTTCCATTTTTTGTTCAGATAGAGTGGGAGGGAGAGAGAGAGAGAGAGAGAGAGAGAGAGAGAGAGAGAGAGAAACATCAACATGAAAGGGACACATCGAGTGGCTGCCTCCTGCCCCACCCAACCAGGACCGGGGACAGACTGCAACCGAGGTACATGCCCTTAGTGGGAACCCGGGACTCTCTGGACCGCAGGCCGACACTCTAACCACTGAGCCAAACTGGCCAGAGCAATCTCTGCCATTTTAATGCTTGGTTTTAGTGGCGAAAGAGAAACATGAATGCCAATGATAAAAACAACTTAAATGTATATGGCTTTAGAATCTGTAGAGTGCTCTTACTGCTTGTCCTTGATAGATAATGACACAAATAGAGAAAGCATTATAATGATTGTCCCTATGTTACAAATTAAGAAAGTGATCTTCAGAAAGGTTGAGAGACTAGTCTATGTCATTTGACTTGTAAGTGAGGAAACCAGAATCCAAACACAGATTTGCTGCAGTTTAAATCCCACTCACTTACTATGTCTAGGAAATCTTGGTCAAATTCCTTCCCATTCTAAAATGCAACCATTATTTTCTATTTGCCTCTAGGAATGATGAAAGCCAGAGAGCTTCTGAGGATATCAGCATGATCCTTACATGATAATTCAGAGAGCTTGACCATTTGCAGTCCTCTCACTATGCTAACTACTTAACCTGCCTACAACATGAGGTTGGTATTCTTCTCCCTACTTCGCACACAGGAAACCAAAGTTGGAGAAGTTAAGAAATGTGGCCTAGTGGTAATGTCAGCATTGAAAGCAGCTACCTGCCTCCAGGCCAGAGCTTTTCACCATTAGGTCACACTGCTTTGATGCTGTGAAAATATCCAGTACGTGCTTTTTTAGAAAAAACACAAGTTCAACATGCACAGACTGCCACCGTAAACCTGGCCAGCTCTTGGTCAATGCATGCCATCTGGGCATGGGGTGGGGGACAGAGAGTGAAAAAGAAAGCTCAAATGGATCAACATTATTTCCAAAACCAATAGTGGGGGAAGATTTCAAATGCATGTCCTACTGAAAGTCAGCACACAGAAATTGTCATTCCTTGTACAGAGTTTATTCAAAGAACAGCAGGGCTAAAAGCAATCCTCACACCAATTACCCCTCAAATTACAGGTGAGGAAACTGAGGGTAAGCGAAGCCCATCCTACTGCTGATAAATAACAGAGCCCAAGACTTGGACACACTGCCTGCATTACTTTTAACCATATTCCCCTCTTGCCTCGGTTGTCCAAGATCTGTTAAATACGAACAGGAAACAGACCCTTGAATTTGAGACAACCTGCTCTTCATGAAGAAACTGAAGGGAAGAGGGGAGGGTAAGGAGGCTGTAGAAGGCCTCCCGTAGCAGCCCCCTTTCACTGATTTTGCCGAGACCATTGCCAGGGAGATCAGTTCAGGTGCCCTGGAACTAGAGTTGACCAGGCCAGCTCTCTCCTCAGAAACTACACTTTGTTTTTCCTCCAGGGAGCTGGGGACTCAATCACCTGTGACTCACCGTTCCCGTGTTGCCTATACAGCACACACGTCAAGGTCTAAAACGGCATCTGCGTCCTGTCCCTTCCCCCCACTTTGGCCCCCGCTGCCTCTGGGTCAGACACCTTGAGGGAATGTGTGCAGCACACCTTGAGTGTGGAAGCCAGGAACCTGCCCCCTCTCCCTGCCCCGAAACACAGAGCATGACCAAAGACTAAAGTTTTCCATTTCCTACCCTCGCTGGTGTCGTAATGCCTGTGTCCTCTCACGGGCTGCTCTCTCCTGCACTGGCCTTGCTAGAGGATTAGAACCCTGAAAATTCAACCCCCAACAGTCCATTCCTCACCAAGTGTGCTAACCTTACATGTGGGTGTGGACTGTGGTTATGACTACAGAAAACTTCATTTGAAGGGAATAACACTGACATTAACATAACAACACTGTCACTTATTGAATATTTACCTTATCAAACACTGTGCTGAGTTCTTCCTATGTAATCACCTTTGTCTCCTCAATGACCCTATTGATATTACCCCCATTTTATAGATGAGAACAAGAGACCTGGAGTACCTCAGGAACCTGCCCAAGGCTACACAGCTATTAAGTGCTGGAACTGGGATTTGAACCTGGGTCATCGTAACTTCAAAGTCGGTGCTTCTTACTCACCCTGTAAGCATGGCCCCACCCCACCTGCCACTTTGTGCCACTGATCTTCACTAGCATGCCATCCGATGTCCTTTAAAACCTCTCCCCACTGGCCGTCCACTAAATCCTGACTTAATTAGTCTCCTTGCCAGCACCAGGGGGTGGTGAAGAGAAAAAGGGGGCTTGTTTCAAAATGAGGTCCTTTCTGGGTTAAAAAAAAACTGGCTTTGGAGGCCTTGGTTGGGGGTGGTGGTGAATGAACATTTTATCAACACAAATGTCATTGGCAGCCCCAAAACAAACAGTGTCCCACCCGGCCTGCTCCTTTATGAGGCATTCAATCAATAAAATGAGAGCAGAGCTCTGTCAGATTTATTGGCTGGGTTCAAACCGAACACCTCTTCCACCCGCCAAAGGCTGGGTCACCCGTTCTACCTTTCCATTCCAACTCTGGACAGCCCCCATCTTCCCCGGTAGGGCTACAATGGTTCATTGTTTGAGGCAGGCCTTGTGAGAAGTTGTGTTTGTTTTACTTCTTATCTTATCAGCTCCAGAGCTACAATGGCCCAGGTGTACTCACCATTTTACCATCAGGTGAGAGGAGATTGTGGCCTGGGTCCAAGCTGGCAGGAGAGACTTGCTGTAAAACAGACTGGCTGGTCACCATGGCGCTGTTGCCATGGTGACTGATTGTTGAGGAGGAAGTGACCTCATTGTTTCCCTGCTGGCTGTAGCGCACTCCTGCAAAACAAGGCAAACCCAACAGTGAACATTAGTGCCACCAGGGCCCCAGCACACTGACTCTGCTCCTCCCCTTGTTTTCAAGGGTGGGTGACAAGAAAACAAAATTGCCTTCTCTTCCTCTGTCTACCCACAAGAAACATCAGCTGTCTTTTTCCAGGGGAAAGGCCTCTATTGAGTTTTGGAATGTAAGCTCCATGAGGCCAGGACATTTTCATCTGTTTCGTTTTGTTCACTGCTATATCTCCCGTGCCTTGGCACGTGGTAGCCACTCAATAAATACGCGTCAAATAAATGAATAAACGAGTGAATGAATGAATTCTGCTTGTTGCAGTGTCAGCATAGTTCTTTTAGGATTTAGGGTCTTATCTTTCTGGCTGAAGTATTTCTTTTATTCTTCAAAATGCCTTCCAGAAATGTTTCCCTGGCATCTCTTGGCTCTGTGTGGCTGCAAAGTATGAGCTGACCCACTTTACAGACACTTGGCAGTGACCCTCCTAAGAGCCATAGCAAAATGCATCAGTCCCTGTGCACTACTGTTTTGCCTGAGCCCAAAAGGCCCAGGGGACACAGGCAGGCAGCACAGGATGGGGCTGCAGCTCGGAGTCTCTGGTTCTGGGACTCACATTCCTTTAATGGGGTCCCATTTGGCTGACTTCAGGGCACAGGGGAAGGCATGTCTGTTGGGAAGTGGGGCAGGTAGCACACACAGGTGGATGCAGATGCTTAGTAAAGCACTGTGGTTTGGTCTGCAAGGGAGGGGAGAACCTCATTGCTCTGACCTGTCCTCTTGCTCAGGAAAGGGATGATGCTGGGTTGAGACCAGGCAGTCAAAGAAAGCAGAAGCTGGGCAAAGAACCTGGGTAAATTTGCCGAGTCAAAATCCTACTTGATGTGCCCACGAAACAACCAAAGACAAAGCTGGTGTGGCTGGGCATCTCACCCTAAACTCAAAGCTTAGAAAGAGTGTTTTTGTTTTTCATTTTGGATTTGACAAAAAAAAGGATTGGGGGACGTTATCCTGCAAGAGAGGGAGCTCAGATGTTCTAGGCATAAATTTATTTGGAAAGGTGTGCCAACTATTTGGCTGTACTTCTCCTTTTCCCCAGTTCCCCAAGATGAACCATCACTTTATAAAGTATATTGATTCTGCTGGTCTGTCTCCCCCTGCCCTGCCTCCTTTTCCAGGAGGCTGACAAAGTCCCCCCAGGGACCAGGCAAGCTGTCATAACTGCAGTCTCCAATTCACTAAGACGAAGCTTGCCAAGAGGAAACCCAAGCCAGTTTTCCTTGGATCCTCTGAAGGACACTATCCAAGGCTGATATGACCTAGAGCTTATGAGGGCTGGGAGAAGACAAATAGGTGCTAAAGTACAGCTCTAACCTTCAAGAGCAACTTGTTTGACTATCAAGTGGCTTAATGCGTGCTCTATGGGCTTCTTCTATTGGTTGTTTCCCCATCCTTTGATTCAAGGGGCTGTTAGTGGGGGTGGTGTCAGTAATAGGGCAACACTAGAATTCAGTCGCTATTGGTCTAGGGCATTAAATTTTGGGGGAAACAGGAGCCGTGAAGTTAAAAGGGAGGAAGGCTTCCATATCTCCAAATCAACACCCCTGCCCAGTCCTGTCGGGCTTTCTCTGCGGCCCATCTGCAGCCCCCTGCTTTACTGTTTATCACCCTCTACTTCATCCCATTGGATTAAATTAGGTCCTTTCTCTCCATTCACATTAGCTCACAGTACTGTTACTGTGAGAAAGACCTGAAGCTTGTGAGCTCAGAAGGCAGAGCTAGGTTCAATGGAAAAGGTGGAGGCAGATTTCAAATCAATAAAAGGAAGAATTTCCTAACAAGGAGAGACAGTGGGAAGACTGTGGGCTGTGGAGCTAGACAAACTCAGGTTCAGATTGTGACTTTGCTCTTCACAGATGTGTAATCTTGGGAAATTTTCTCCCTGTGCCTTAGTTTCCTCTCATAAAATGGAGAGAATGCTTTCTTATTTTTATATTAGAGAGAACATCTATACAGCTCCTAGCACAATGCTAAATAAATGGCAACTATGAAGTGGGTGGAGGTAGCTGGTATAGGAACAGACCCCAAGACATATACCCTAAGACCCTAGAGTTCTAGACAACTTAAGATAGGGTCTATGTACTGAATAGAATTATCTTTCCATGGAGAATAGTTTCCAAAACATCCAAACCTGGTGGACCATTGATGCTTTGCCCTGGAAGTAATTTGACAGGAAGGCCTTTTGGAGGAACTAGACTTCACCTTGTTTTTCTCCTGCTTTCTCTGACTCCCTGACTAGCTATTTACCTCCCCAAGATGCTCTGCTCCTGAGAGAGTGGTGATAACGCTGGGAGTCAGGTGTGTTTTCACCCCCAGTCTGTCCCCATCATCGATTCAGTCTCAAGTCAAACAGACTCTGGTTTTAGCCTATTTAATTTGGCTGAAGGAAGAGGGCCAGCCCTCTGATGATCAAATATGGGTCACTGGGAGGCTTCTCCCCTACCACAGGCTACATAATTATTTATTTAAAAATAATTAACTAAAGATATGCACAGGAAACAAAAGCCTTCTTTACAAGGGAGTCTGGCAGGAGGGAGTCAAGAGCCATTTGGATAGCCCAAGGTTGCTGTGGTTTTCAAACCTGGTTTTCTCTCCCTAGCAGAACTTCATTATATGAGAAACACAGCAGTGGACCTACTCTATTTAAACACAGATGGGCCTAGACCCCTGTACATTCCTTTAAAGACCTCTGGCTGAGGGATAGTGTCTGCCTGGGAATTAGGGATCCCTGCTTTGATCTCCACTCTGCCACCAATGTGTTGGGTGAACTCCAGCTTCCTCATCTGTAAGCCAGAGAACTACCAGTTTGGGGAGGGGCTGTTGTCACTGCAGAGTGTGGTGGGAGTGAGGCATGAGGTGGCTCATCAACTCCACATTTACCTGTGACCTTTCCCACTGATGCTTTTCTCACTAGGAATTTGGAGATCACTCTGGACCCTGAGAGGGTGACTGTAATCAGCCAAGTTCCTTAAAGGGGGTGTGGTGGTAGAGGGTGTATCACAAGGTACCTACTGGTGCACTTATTAAAGGAAGGAGAGGCCAGGTCCTTGTGTATTTCACAAATTCAGAAGAGGGCTTGAAATGAGAACGAAAGTAGAGCAGTGTCAGGAGCCAGGTGAACCTGGGTTTAGATCTTGGCTCTATCACATAAGAGCTGTGTGACCTTAGGGAAGTTGCTTAACCTCCCTGAACTGTGGTTTCTAGATTGTTAATATCTACCCCTTAGCTTATTGGAAAGAAGACTGATGAGTTAAAGATTCCAGACCATGCTTGGCATGCTTGCTCAAGACTCATTGATTCCTCCTACTTTGGAACTGTCTTTGTCTAAAAGACATTTTTGGAAAGGCTGAGTTCACAAAACCTTGTTGAGCACCTATCATATGCCAGGCACTGGGCTAGGGAGCCTGTGTTAAGAAGTGAAATGAAATCTTTTCTTGTCCTTCACCACTGTGAGCTCTGAAAATAAATATGTTATAAGGGCTCTGGTTTTATATATATATTTTTTACCCTCACCCGAGAATATTTTTCTATTTATCTTCAGATAGAGTGGGAGGGGGAGAAAGGGAGAGAGAGAGAGAAACATCAACATGAGAGGGACACATCGACTGGTTGCCTCCCACATGACCCCGACCAGGGCTGGGGATGAACCACAACTGAGGTACATGCCCTTGGCTGGAGTCAAACCCAAGACTCATTGGTCCATGGGCCGATGCTCTACCGCTGAGCCAAACCGGCCAGGGCTAATATTAACTGGCCAAAGATGCCAACTTAATAGCCACAGAGGTCCCATAGGAGAAATGACAATGCCATAAGGTGGCCATATACCTTCCACTTAACTTCCTGGCTCAAGTCACTGATTGGCCACATCCCCATCACTGGCCCTATAAACCACAGCAAGTGTGTCCAGCAGAAGAAACCTCAGCTGGAATCTAAAGACACCCGGAAGTCCTGCTGAGGTTATGTACCTTCACCTGTTCCTAGTCCTCCGCATTATGGGTGATGATGCTATTCCTGAATTTCTGACAGCATGTGGGACAGAGACAAATAATTTGGTTTCTGTCCAACGTGACTGGTCAGATGTGTCAGAATACGAAAGACGCTTATGGTTCCAAGAAGCCAGAATCTCCATGTCCTGCCTTCTCGCACCAGCACCCATCTCTGGGGCACCCTTCACGCTGCTGCAGCTTGGGATTTCTTTCTAAAACAAAACTGCACCATGTCACTGCCCTGCTTGGAAACCTATGATGGCTCCTCACTCCATCTGGAAAAACTCCAACATGTAAGACTGGCAGAGTTAGGTGTTTATGACTGCAGTTTGTCTTATTTGTATCACCTCTTACCTGGTAGAGCACCTGCCATTCCTCGCATAGGCCCTGCCATCTCCTGCCTCTGTACCTTTGCCAATGCTGTTCCCTCTGCTTAGAAAGCTCTTCTCTTCTCCTCCATGTCACATCCTTTAGGAGGGCTAAATGCCACCTCCTCTGTGAAGCTTTTCCCTGATTCATCCTGATAGTTATCTGCTCCACCCCTCGTATTTTACTTGTAGTAGAGACTTACAGCTGGAGTGGGTTACCCTGCACTATAATGCTCTGATGATATCTTTACTTCTCTCTCTCTCTCTTAAAGGAAGAGATGGCATTTTATTCATTGCTGCATCCTCAGAGCCTAGCAGAAGGCCTGAATTGTGACTACTTATTGAATGAAGGAATGAGCCCTCAGCTGCTTTGAGTATCCATGCCCCACAACAAGGAAGCATCCCTCTGGTGGAAGGAGAAAATACAGTCAGTTCTGCAATAATGTCTGTACTGAAAGTGTGGATTTCTTCCAAGTCTACCAATATATTAGAAAATAATTAGAATGCAACATGAATTTCTCAGTTAAAGAATTTAGAAATCTGCACCCAGCTGAAAGGAGCCACACAGGAATACAC